TCACGCTTCGATTAACCAAGTCGGTATAAAATGTGATTTTCGTTCGATAAAATGTCGATACGAGATATAAAATTATTCGAAAAACCGATCGGAAATATAAATTTTCCACCTTTGTTGTTCGACCTAGATTTTCTTTTTACCAGAATGTCGGAAGAAAAGAGAACGCGGTGAATGCGTTGCCCTTCGCCGAAGGCAGCGAATTAAACAGAGAGTTAAAAAGTTGACGGAGCAGGATCACCGTTAAGTGGAACAACAACAAGGTGTCGCCCAGTAAATCGTTTTGCCGACTAACCTATAAATTTCGCATACATTTATTCCAATTTTCATAAATGAACGGTATCACTTTGTCGTTATCGACATATGTGCGTCATTATAAAGATATGTATCATAAAGATATTAATAATTCGAATATCCAAGTATTTTAAACTTTCGTAAAGATATTAAATAAACTTTAATACTCTTTAATAGATACATGAATCACGTCATGGTTTTCTTAATATTTTTACGGCATTTTTTTTTTTTTTTTATTATAACTAATGAGCATTAATTATTATTCAAAAATACGTAAATGTATTATCGAAAGACGTAAATAAAGTAATTAGAGAAGACTCATTACTCAAAAAACAGACACGTGAATTTTTATATTTTAAAAAAAAAACTTTTCACGTCAATTCTTTTAACCTTCGTAAAATTCTAAAATCTAGATAAAAAAAAAATAAGGAAGAAAAAAATTAGTAGGTTAACTGTTTTACATTGAGACTATATAATCATATAGTATTAAAAGAAATATAAAGATAATTAATGTATAATTAAAACATTAGACACGAATTTAAACATATCGAATATTCGATCTCCGATATCTTTCCTCGAATGTCGAAGTTCAAGTTAAGAAGAATACAGTAGCAAGAGATCGAATAACGCTCGAATAACGTAGTGATTGAAGATGGTATCGCTAGAGAGAGGTGATAAAACACGTTTTCCCAATAAGTACCGACAGACGCAATTACGGTTATCTACAGTTAAGGTCAGAGAAAAAAGGAGTTCAGGTCTCGACGGTCTAGTTTACTATGTTGGATCGGTGCACGAATGTATCTCTGAACTCGTTCGCTTAGAAAGACTTATCTGTTGTATACGGCATTAATGGTCGAGCCTACGCCCATCCTAGACGGTATTATATACCGTTATATTATTTATAACGAGGAAACATATTTTGCCTACGCTTATGCGCCTTCCCATACTCTATAGCTACATTTTTCACGCTTCCTTCGTTTGCTATAACGATACGATCATGTTTTCATTTGAGTGTTAATTAGAGCTGGGATTCAGTTGATTCGAAATTATTATAACGCAAAATAAATGGTTGTACCGATTAATTTATCAAGTTGTAACTCGTTAAATATTTTTGAATACTCCCGCTGCTTAATTGTAGAAATTCATTTTATCGACATCCATGAAAATGCTTTTTTGTATATGCTTCATTTTAATAAGTTTCCGACCAATTTTCTTATTATTCTTATTTTGCAATTAAAAAAGAAAATTAAACCTTATAAGCTAAGATTTTCTGTTCTTTTATCAAAGATTCTTTACGTTATGTTTTTCTGTTTCTGTAATTATATAGATCGTGTTTCCGTTTTCAATCTTCTAATTTCTTCATCTTGTGCGTTCAATTTTTTATTATTTATTTTTTTATTATAATCATTATGATTGAACTTGTTTATTATATCAATTAAACTTTGCATTAAAGTTTGCAATGGTATGCACGAATAAAAAGGAAATTCGAATCGAATACCATAGATAATTTTTTACTTTGTAACTTCGTTACTGATTGGAATTAAGTTCGATAGTTCATAACGTTCGCCGTAAGATGGCTCTAATCGCGTTCAGAGAGTATGTGTGGGTATTTCAGCTGATGGCTTTGTATGTAGTCAAGATGGCTTCCGCGGAACAAGTCGGTCTGAACAAAACTTGGGAATTATCACTTTACGAACTTCATCGTACTCCTCAGGATGCAATTACTGACAATACAGAGATTGCGGTTAGTCCTCGAAGTTTACACAGTGAACTTATGTGTCCGATTTGTTTGGATATGCTTAAAAAAACTATGACTACCAAAGAGTGCTTACATCGGTTCTGTTCCGATTGTATCATCACAGCACTTAGAAGCGGTAATAAGGTATGTGTTTCTTCTGAAATTATTCTGATAATAATTAGTTATTATGTACTTTCATGGCACAGTGTTTCTAAAAGTTTCTTAATCCATTAAAAATCAGTTGCTGACACTTGGTCAGTATCCTGTCATTGTTTCTTTTTTCATTTTACTATATATCGTACTTTTACGTAAACACAACTTTGTATTTTTGTATATAGATATCGATAGTAATTTTAAGAATCAAAGATTAAAGTAATTTCTTGTAAAAGAAGGAAATTCGATTGTAGTTACATTTGGTTCTGTCAGATACTATAATTTTAGCGCGCTTTTTGAAATGCGTCGTAAATGATGCTCTATGTTGCTTTGTGATGTTTTTTTTTTATCATTTCTATAATTCGAGTTGAAGAAGTTGAATATTATAATAATTATTGATGGATTTAGATTTATTTTTTATCCAATGTTGGAATAATTTGTATTCTTTGACTATGTGAGTGTTAATAAATTATTATTTTAAAATACTTAATGAACATATATTTGTTCATATGTTTTATCTTTAGATATGAACTTTTTAGTGTAGATTTGGATTTTATCATAGATTTTATAATTGCCATTGAATTCAAGTACGAATAGAGGTTAGAATAATTTTGAAAAATATGTAAATCATTAAAAATTCTGTTCGTAGGAATGTCCAACATGCAGAAAAAAATTGGTCTCTAAAAGGTCTTTAAGACCAGATCCTAATTTTGATCTATTGATTTCTAAGATATATCCTAGCCGTGATGAATATGAGGCTCATCAAGAGAGAGTATTGGCAAAATTGAACAAATCACATTCACAGGCTGCATTGGTAAATTCTATTACAGAGGGAATCAAATTACAAAGCCAAAATCGTTCTCAGAGATCCAGAAAAAATGCCAATGAATCAGAGAATGCTAGTAACGCAACATCTTACAATAATTCTCAAAATGCCAGTGCACCGGCTACACCAAATGCTACGAATGCTGCGAATCAAAGCGATTCTTCTCAAAGTACAACAGGACCTTTAAATAATAGCAGTGGAGGTTATTTAAAAAATTTTATTGATATTTTATTAACTTTATTGTTCCTGTTAATGAATAAATTTAACAGATGGATTTTATACGAGTAAAATAATCAATTTCAGGTACAACTTCTAGGAATTCTACTACACCATCGCCAAATCCTGCAAATCAAATTCCAAAACCACCAAAACGACAGAAAAGTTTACAAAATTCTGAAAATGATTCGTCTAGTGCAGAAGCTGAAACCGGTGGTGGTGATTCTATGGTAGATACAGAGGGTGAAGGTCCTAGTGAGCCTTTAATGTTAAACGAGATTGAACTTGTTTTTAAACCACATCCCACGGAGATGGCCGGGGATAATTCACTTATAAAAGCGTTGAAAGAAAATAGTATTCGATATATCAAAACAACAGCTAACGCGACAGGTGAATGTTTTACACAATTGTAAATTTAAGCGGAATATTCAAAGTGAACGATAATAATTGTTAATTTTTGTAGTTGATCATCTGAGCAAGTACCTGGCTATGCGGCTAACATTGGATTTGGATACAGAATTATCGGAATCAGACAGGCTACTTAATTTTTGTATTTATATAGCACCTTCTCCTGGTCAATTAGTAGTTTTAAGTGGATCTCAAACTTTAAGACAAGTCAATGATAAATTCTGGCGCGTAAATCGACCCCTGGAAATGTATTATTCCTGGAAAAAGACCTAGGGAAGGCCTCGGAAGTACCAGTCTGATGGGAGCTAGTCGCGTTAAGCTCCAAAAAATATATAAAAAAATATAAAAAAATTTTTATTATGTGGAGTACAGAAACGCGCATTGTTATATCAAGATAGACCGATATATTTTACTGTACTTCAATAGCCTTGGATTATGTTCAAGGATCGAGAAAGATAGAAAAGAGGAAATTCCTCTCGTACTAGTGGACAGTGGTGCAATTTTTCTCTTCATGGGAGTGGTTGCTCGTTTGTTTTCTCTGAAGAGGGCAGTAGAAGAACGAATAGATTTTTAATTGAAGCTTTGTACAGCGATTTATTCTAAATGCAACAGAGTTCAATCTCGGATACAAACTGCCATTCACCAGATTGTATTGGATCATGAATAGATCAAGAGATTTTTGTGTCTACAAACCGTGAACAACATATAATATTATCAGATTATATCCTTTTTTCACAGTTGTAAGTTAATCCGGTGCGCCCAGTTACAATATTTCAAGTTTATGGCCTCGATGGTTAAATAACTTATTTAAAATAAGTCTTCGATTCCTTGTGGACCATTCTGTACAGATTCACAAAAAAAGAAAAAAAAATCAAATAAACTAATGTATATATACTATACTTTTTTGTTAAAAAGAGTATTTGTATAATAGAAGAAGAAAAATTCCCTTATAACTAAACTCGAAAATTTTCCTTTCTCATCTTTTTAATGTTCGAACGTCATTGATTTTTCCTTATTTTTTTCAAAGTATTTTTTGATCACAAAAATCTAATTTTCGATCACGTTAAATGTACATGAAAAGCGTCTTTGGCTTAGTAGACGGAATAATCGATAAGTGCCGACCCCATCCTGCGCCCTCTTGCATTTCCACTGAACCGAAAACAATGCGAACACTCCAAGTCGGGTAATGCCACCCTCTTTACTAAACGGGAAACCACGTCGTTCGTTGGCCTTATGATATCGAATTCCATTCTTTTTGTATTAACTATAATTCCATCATTAGTCGTTTGACATTTTCAATCTTTTTTCCTTTTCATCGAACGAAAACATAAATAATATTTAATTTTTGAAAAAAATAGACTTATTCCATTTTTTTTTTTTTTTGATGGATATTTATAAGATCGACTAATGAATATTTATTGACATTGTAATGTTGCATAAGAAAACGTATTAGAATCAGAAAAGATCAGAATAGACGGAAATGAAGTACATAGAATATCCGGTAATTCGTCACCTAATACAAGTTTCTCGTCTTTTCCAAGATCTTTTCATCATTAATTAATGAATTCATGACAGAATTATATCCATTGTAATTTTGTATATAATTACAGGATGTGCAACCGAATAATAACGAAGGTTTCTAATTAACGTAAATGAATCAAGATGAATTCTCCAAATCGCGATATATGCCTCGTAATAAATAGAATGGTTAATAGTGAAATACTAATTAACAGCCTATTTCTGCGCATTCAGAAAAATCTGAATACTCGTAACGAGGAACAACATTACAAAACCTCTTCTGATCGAATCAAACCGAAAGTTCTATTTTATATCCTAATTGCATTTCTTAATAAGTATACAGGAAATTCTATTTCTGCAATTAATATTTAATCGTTTATTTTTCAGATGTTCATAAAACCGCTTCAGTGCTGATGCGGCAAAGTTGGTTTATTCGGTTTCTCATTCAAAGAAATTTCACTACTTTCCTTCGAATCCGTGTCCTTCGCCTCGGTAAGAGAAGACGATTTATTCGACAACAAGTGCATCGACGATTTTTCTCTTTTCAGTATATCGTTCATGTCGTCGTCATTTTCACCATACTCCATTTGCTCGTCTTCGCTCCATTCTTCCAACGAACTTTTCTCCGGAGATTCATCCTCGAAGATATTTCTCGCTTTTCCTTCCATGTTATCAAGTTTCTCTTTTAAAAGTTTGTAAATCTCGTCCGAAGCGAATCTAAAAATTCATCAGTCCATTAGAGGGATTAGGGGATCCTACAGGGATTTCTCGTTCAATCCTATTATTTGTTATCTGGCCGGATGGATGTCCGCGTTATTCATTCTTAATGGAGAAATTCTCTCATTATCGCGCTCTCCAGAGTCTATCCCATTTTCCAGTAACGCGTGCAATCCCTCTGGTAACGGGAATAGATCGAATGACGTAACCAAGTGAAGGAATACTAACGGTATTTTATAAGGTTCCTTGTACCAGAGCGGGAATCCCGTGGGATTGTATCTCCCGTCTGGAATCGAATTCTCGGTTGGCAGAGAATGCAGTTTGAAATGCGCCGGTTCGACCGTCTCCTCCAATAAGGCTGACACTTGTCGCGCATAGTCCTCCGTACCAGCTGTTCGTTCCAGTCTGGGAATTAATTGGAATACGATTTTCTTATGCTTCCCTTTATCCGACATACACAACTGTTCATCGGTATCCAGACACTTTGTTCGATTCGAAGAAAAGGTAATATATATTTGTTTATCGTAGTGTAATATTTTTATATTCGATCATTGTACTGGAAACAAGTGTTCCAATTTATACGAAAAATTTTAATTTCAATTTTTTTTTTTTTTTTTTGACTCATACATAAATAAGATTTCAATTTAATTAATGAATCTAGAAATAACAGTTATTATCTTCTTAAGAAATCAGCAAACTATAAATTTGAAGTATTTATTAACATACTTATCATAATTAAGTACACGATTCGACGATATATTTGTCAGTTTTGAATATTATCGGTATATTAATTAATACCAACAATTCATAACTATTTACAAGCATTTTCTTTATATTATTAAAAATTTTTCGAAATTATAATAAATTATTTCTGTCAAGTTTAATAAGTATGAAATTCAATTTTCTCGTTCCATATTACTTTCGTGAAATTAATTTTATCGCCTTAATAATAATCATAAAAAAAAAGAAAAAGAAGTAATTATCACAAAAAAATTATTGGACCAATGAACAAATCCAGTTATTCGAATTGCATTCTGTGCAAAAAATAATTAAGTGTCTGGATACTTTTAAACGATAATGTATTTCAAGTATTTAATTCGTTTACTTCTGGACCATTTGCCTAGTGAATTCCAATCTCGGTATCGATTTGTACGATAAATTAATAGAATCCATGGAATTCTTCACTTTAGTCGTTCGTGGTTTATTCACGTTTCCTTCGACGCCATAAAAACTTCCAAAGTGTACCGCCGTGTCGTTAGGAAGATTCGACATCAACCTCACGTCCTTGGAACCTTTCTTCTTCTCGGTCTCCTTCGATTCTTTCGATTCCTTCAATTCCTTGCTTTCCTTCATTTCCTTGGTTTCCTTCATTTCCTTGGTTTCCTTGATTTCCTTGGTTTCCTTGGTTTCCTTGGATTCTTTGTTGTCCCCATTGTTCGACGATATTTTCAAAGAGTCGGATTTTTGCTCCCTCCCTACGTACCTTGGAAAAGATAATGGTTGCGTGTTAAAATAACGACGGTTCGATGTACAAGATGTCGTTACGCCGGATGCGTGCTCGCGTGTTCTTCACGGACTCGTTTGTTCGTCGTTACGTTCGTTGAGTGCCTCTTACTTTTCTCGAATCGTTTACAAGTCGGTCTTAACCCACTTGCGCTCAAAATTACTCGCGGTACGATATTTAAATAAATCCGAGCTATACGATCAACCTTGCTTTTATATCAAACATGATATAAAAGAGTAAGGGAAGAAAAAAATATAACGAGACGTGGCGATTATTTAGCACGGTAATACAGGTTTGATGGTAATAAGCGTGACTATGGAGGACGAGTACCACGAAATCATATCCAACAAGTACCATTTTTTTTCTCCATGCAGAACGGTAATTTTGTGTAATTAACGTGGAAGATAAGAACGAGACACAAATGGAACGTCTATGGCAGGAACGAGTTGAAACAGACCTGAAAGTACGTCACAAGTACGTCTTCTAATCTACCACTACCGTTTGATCATCCGCGATTGACATACGTACCGTTACGGGAACATTCATTTCCGTTACGTTAGTCGGTGAAACGCACGAGTTAATCAAGTATATTGGTTAATTCATCGTAACAGGCAATTTGCGAGAAATTATAGCGAACACGGAATGGACCGTTGATCGAATAATTAAAAAAAATTTTGCAAGAATCTCGATAATGGTTTTGGCGACATTTTTCTCGAATTGCATGAATTATTCATTATACGAAAGAATTACGAATCGCGTATGCAAGATATATAAGCTAGCTGCCTTCAAATTTATAATTTCCTGATGCGCAGTCAATTTTGTACGTGATGAATTTAAGATGAATCGTGCGGATAGTGTGACGACGGTAAGAAAAATCGATGTCAGCTGCTAGAATTCCCATTTGGGGATCTTCACGCTTCTTGCCATTCACGGTAATTTAATTCGATTGAATACAGGATAAATATTTGAGAAATTTGTCAAATGATTTCGAAAGTATTCGATGTAATTTCCTTCTGTAATTTGTAAATGCGTCATCGCATCTGTTTTTTCAAAAGATAAATTAGTACAAATACATATATATGTTAATTAGAACGATGAAAAAAGTTTTCGCGTTAATAAGAACAAAATCGATTCTCCAACGTAAAATATTTTTATTTCGGGAGGATAAAATTGCAAGAAAATGATTAATTACGCGATTAATTCGAAATTTCTTATCGGTCTAGTTTAGTTTCTAGTTTTATATAAATATTGTTACTCACTTTTGAAACTTGTCGATCAAAGAGGGTGATACGTATAGGTTACTGGAAGCTGTGAATTTTTTTCGACGATGCTTAGGAACCTTTGTCGTCGGTTTCACTTGAGATTTATGATACGACGACATATCGATACGATATATTTTTCTTCGAAATGAATTTATTTCATTAGCCAATTATTACCGTTACTAGTGAAATTTCCCGAACGTTGATATTTCCTTGTTTCTGGTACATGTCATCATTCTACAAATCAACTCTTCGTTCGAGGTAATAATATTTCGAATAGAGAAGCTTCTCGAGGGAGAGGGGGGATACGAAGTCATGGTTACGAGATTAATCCCGGGAAAAACGCGTAGCAGGAACGTTTTAACGGAATTAGATTGGTAGGTGGTACGTTGCAATCGTTTTAATGGGAACTACATCGATAAGGGGGTTATTTTATTTCCACGTCACAAACACCCGTGTACCCGTGACCGCAATTAACCAGAGAACAGTCTCGAATCGGATTCACGATCGATATCGAAGAGATCGTAATTTTATTCTGAATTACGAGGTAAAACTGTTATCTAAGAAGATATTATCGCAAAAGTACAGACGTATCTTTTTACCATTCCGAATATACACGTATATATATATATTCTCGATTCTTTTTTGTCCTCTCCGTCTAATTTATACCCGACTCTTCTTCAACCCGGTTTTTTTCCAGCCGTATCGTAACAAATTATCCGTGAAAAAGAAAGCGAGGGAGTAAGGAAGAGGAGAGAGAGGATCGTATAGGGGCAAATATGTTAATAAGTGTTTCTTTGCGGTTGGGAGCACGCGTCGCTCGGATTCTCGAGACAAAAAGACAGGAGGCGAGATCGTAAAGCACGTTGTCTCGTTTTTATGACGCGTCGAGAAAGCGGCATGGAACGGCGGTTGGTCAGTCTACTAACGAGGGAGGGGAAAGAAAAGAGGCGACGAGGGTGCGGAGAATGGAACGGTTGGACGGAAACCTCGTGTTGTGCGGAGTCGAATGTATCGTGGTTTAAAAAAAAAAGGAAAAAAGAAAAAAAGAAGAGGGGATAGAAACGGGCCCGCTTATTTACGATCGAAAAGAGCGAAGGAACCGGGCTCGATTTCGTGCACGGCGCGAGAAAAGGGAGCAAAACCGCGTCGTCGCCGCGCGATGCATATCTTATGCACGTGCCCATTGGTCCTGACTCGGCTACAAAATTATTTACTGCCGACTGCATCGAGAAATGCTAAATATTTCAAGGGTTCAAAAGGCCTTGCACGAGCCCTCCCTCCTATTCTTACGTAGATTTTTTTCCCCTTCCCCTCCCTTTTCTTGAGATTTCGCCAGAAACAGAATCGAGTTCGATCGTGATTCCTCAGAAGTTTAGCATTTCTTATTGTTGATTCAGGCGAATAACGTTTTTCACCGTGGAAACAGCTATCGTAACTGTTTTTCCTTCGAAGATAAAGCCGAGTTCGAATGAGTCGAGTCGAGATTTCTTTACGTGTTATTTCGTTGATTTGAAATATCCTTTGAATTTTCTACGCCTGTTCTATTAGTCAAGTTATTTGACTTGTCACGTCCCTTGAATCGAAGTAATTTGAAACATTTTGCCAGTGCGAATCTGTTACTTTGCTTTACTTGAATGCAATAACAGTTACCGGGTAATTTAACGTTATTTCCAACTTATTCATAATGGTTCTTTAAACCAAGTTGACGTTTATGACATTCCCGTTCAATATTAAGAAAATTATATTCACATTTTTATACCGTCCTTTCACTGTTAAGCTAATTTAACAAAA